GTTTTACTAAAGTCCAGGTAGACCACATCTATCTGCATTGCAAGAAAATTGATTATGAATAAACATATCTAATAAGAACCCCATTAGTCTTCAGTCAAAAGAGTGTAGGAAACGAATTATGCTACGAACCTGACAGTAACAGAATCATAGAATAATGTAGGTTGGAAAGGATTTCTAGAGGCCTGTTGGCCCAAGCAAGCTGAGAATTTTGCGTAAAGAAATAACGTGACAAATTAGCAGGGCAGTAATTGCACTTGCAGTTTAAACAAGCATCTACGAGACATCTGCAGCTCAAACATCTGTATTTTAACAATAGGATATGAAAACTGGACTCCATCCAGCACATGGATTATATTATTATTATATGTATCTTTAAAACAAATGCTTTAAGAAAATACAAGATACTATGTGGAATTATAGTGAATGCTGAAATTTGCTGGAAAGTTCAACTGCTATTTACTTAAAAAAAAATCTAGAAGTAGTTGTGGAAATGCTTGTAATGGCTAAAAAATTATTTTAGAGTACTTGCAATGGGTGCTAGAACAGTAAATGTAGTGAGTCAGTCTCATTACATTTAGTGAGACATTAAATTTAACTACAATAGAGTGGTTTTTGGATTGTTGGATATATAGTACTAATAAAGCACTCAATCATGACAATTGATAACATTGGAATTATTCAGATTCAGCAAATATTAAGGATTCTGAAATAGACCTGCAAAATGTTTCTAGAAAATTCAGTTCTCATGGTACCATTTCTATAGTAGTACATTGAAGATATCTGTACAGAAGTTTGCTTGGTTTATGCTAAATAAAGGGCAAGAAAAAACTGGTTGTGTGCCCATATTCATTACCAGCATATGTTTATGAAGTTTTTTATTTTTAATATTTTTAGAATTTTAATTTTTTTTTTTTTTCAGCTGTTGTTGTGAAGAAAATTTATAAAATACAAAACAAGTATAACTCTGTTAAAAGTAAATTTAAAATGTAACTTTTGGCATTATGTCTACAAATAATCTGTTTTCCAGGTTCCACTAGCTCCTATGCAGAAGTCCGGTATAAACCTTCATTTTTAAAGGATGATGAGCTCCGACAGTTAATCCTTAGGGTAAGTGGAAGGAAACTCTCAGTTAAATGATGTCCTTATTAAAGCTTGCCATTAACTTGAGTTTTTAGTTGGAGAATGCTTTTTTCCCCATCTTTTTATTCAAGCAGGTGCTTTGATGTACTTGATAAGTACTGATTTATTAACGCTGTACACTATACAGACTTTTTCATAAAAGGGTACAGAAGATGATTTGTGAGCACGGATAATAAATCTGTATACAGTTCACGTATTTAATACATAACATTTTTTATGTTGATAATGAAGTCTGCATGCAAATATACAGAATGCTTTTAATTACACAAAAATATACTTGCAATTGTTTGGTCTCCATTTAAATTTTTAAAGATGTACTTTGAAAAAGATGCAGAAATAATACCTGAAAGAAAATTTTTCTTCTTGTTTTCGCACTTCGTCGTATACCCACACCCCTTTACCCTTTCTCATTTGCAACTATTTTCTTTTTCCTTTGCTGCAATAACAGACTTCGCCAAGATCTGTAAGATGACTCCCAAGTTAAGCTGTTTTGCAGCTGGCCGCCTCTTTTCCTAAAGCTGTGTTTAAGAAACTTCAGCTGTCTATAGTTGAAAGTCTGATTTGGTCCTTGCAATCTTAATTGCTTTTTGGTGTGATTTGTAACTTATTTAATTAAAAAATTCACATTTAAAAGTGTGCTTCTTGTAGTCATCAATATTTATTGTATATTTTAATTGTATGTTTTTAAAGACAGTATCTTTCTATTTTCAGGCTGCAGATGGATTCCTATTTGTGGTTGGATGCAACAGAGGAAAAATTCTGTTTGTCTCAGAATCAGTTTGCAAAATACTTAATTATGATCAGGTGGTTATAACTGAGTTTCTTCGTTTGCTTTTACTTTGCATTTTCTTAGAAACTTCTAAACTTTTCCATTTTATTGTATATTATTAAAAACAGTCCTTGTGTATCATTTCTTGGAATTTCTCTGATTTAACTTCCTTCAGAGTAAGGCTGAATATCCTGGAACTAAATATTTACAAGTACAGTCAGTGTTCCTGACCTGAGTAATAGCACCAGATTTCAGTTGATCATCTTTAAGAAAACTGCTAGTCTGAGAGGAAGGGATAATTTGAAGATGTCCTAATTTCTATCTCCAAGAGATTTTCTTTTAAATGGTGAAGTTATTTTTGGGGTTTTTTTAGGCCAAGGAAAATTGGTGGTTCAATAAAGCTTTCCTTGGTAAGGCCTTTACACTCAGATGCACTACATATGACCTCATCCACAATAACTATCTGTGTATTTGCTCTTAACTTGAAGGAAGCTGATATAGTGTGAGTTAGCTTAGCCTGTAGAATAAGAGAAATAGGAAAAATGTAAGTACCTTCCATTAGTTGACATTTAACATCATGGACAATTACCACAAATAATCAAGGCGTGATAACTTGTTCATGTATCTATGATTTCTGTTCCAAAAACAGAGGCTAAAACAGTTAGTGGTTCCATCTGTCTACTTCTAAAACTTTGAAACCATTTGTGCTATGTTCATTTTCTTCAAAATGGAAGGGTAACCAATCTGGACTGTGTTTTATAGATTTTTGTAATTTTTTTTTTTTAAAGAAAACTATCTCTTTTTAAATTAAAGTGAAATGCATCATTTTACAGGAACAAGCATAAAGCAGATTTTTTTTTTTTTAAAAACTTCTACACTGAATTTACTCAAGGACTAAAAAGAACCTTTTGGAGTCTCTCACATCAGACATACCTACTTCCAGACTTATAAGATCTTTGCTATTCCAGCCAAAGAGGTTCAGAGAACGTGACTGACTTAACCCATGAATTTATTATCTTACTTGGGAATCATTCTAGGTTATGAATCCCATCCTGCAGCCTTATCAGTTACACCTATATATTTTGTCAAGGCTGCTACCAGCCTTTCTCAGTGGCACTCAGCATTTTGCCTTTGCATTCGGGTTAGGTGGGGACTGGGCAAATGAAAGAGGCTGTATGTTTATCCTGCTTTCTTAGAAGCTTTTCATTAAACCCATTTCTCACTCTGGCTTACTGGAAAAGTGCTCCCCTTTATGAATGCAGTGATCACATAGCAAATGGCATGGATCCAAAATGAGTTGCAATTTGAATCTAGAATACTGCTTGTCAGCCCAGCTCCTTTCTACCCATTGATTTGACCTGCTGTGGTGAAAGTAAGCAATTAAAAAACCCAAACTAGCCCACTTTTGTGAGAATTCCTTGTTTCAAAAGAAAGTAGTGCTGCCTGCAGTAGTGCAGCAGACCAGTTACTTTGGATCAGCAGAGTCAGCAGGTTGAATGGATTCCAGCTAGAGAGATTCCTGTAAATATCCCCTACTAAGGAGTGCTGAAATGAGCTGACCCCTGCTTGCAGGCAGCTCTTGGCTCAGTGGTGCCATTTTGTCCAACCAAATTAGAGCTCAGTCATTAGGTAGCATGAATATTTCTTCCTACTTCCCTATCTCCCCGCCGCCCCAATAATCTGTGAGTGGAGTTATTTTGTGCGTAACCTTCTTTGGCTAGGATCAGGAATCATATTAGGTACATAAATAAAACATTTGGTTTTACAGAACTGTTTTTTAATATTCAACTAAATCTGCTATTTTGCAAAGGGGAAGTAACAAATTATGTTTTTACTACCCTGTTTTTATAAAAATAATATTAAACAATGTCAAATTAAATGTGGATCAAAATATTGATGTTTAGAGTAACTGTGGTATTTGACTTTTTTTAATGGTGTGGGAAGTTGTTTTTCTGAGATAAGTAATATGTATGGGGTCCTGTTCTGAAACGATGTGGTTCTTATATCTTTTGGTCTTTTGTGTTGTTTTTTTTTTTTTTTTTTAAATAGGCCACTTTAATTGGACAAAGTTTATTTGATTACTTGCATCCAAAAGATGTTGCAAAAGTTAAGGAGCAACTTTCTTTTTCGGATGTCTCTCCTAGGGAGAAGCTCGTAGATGGGAAAAGTAAGTCGTATTTGAACGTGCTCAGATTTTTTTAGAGAGATGTTAATAAATTTAGTTATTTATGCAGGACATATTCATGTGTTTGTATGTGCATGGATGTACAAACTTGAGGTATAATTTTTATGAATGAAACATATTTGAATACTTATCTGCTGCTTAGAATGCACTTACAGTTTAAAAGCTAGCCCAGAAGAGAATTTCTTTTAGATAATAAGAATGACTGAAATTTGCATTGTTAAACATTTACCAAGATGTGGTCTGACATTCTTCCTACCAGGCATACTACTTTTTTTTCTTGTATTTGATAGGTCTTGTCAATACAAAAGACCTGATGTAGTCGAACATGGGATAAAATACTTCAATATCAAGAATCACTGTCTTCTCTGAAAATGCTAAGTGTCAATCCTAATTTAACCAAATCTTATTTTGTTTACAGTTATTTCTAATATGGAAAACGTTATGTACTGTGCAGCCAATCACTATTTTATAGCTAGCTTTTATAAGCATCTTTGCAGTTCTTCCTTGTACCAAATAGAAGTTGAAAGTTTATGAAGCATATTTATTAAAATACCATGCAAAATATCAAGAAGGGTTTAAAAATAGTTCTGTAGTTCTTTTTAATTTTGAAATCTGTGTGATAGTCATGTTTTCTTTGCCCTATTTAAGTTATTAGACTTTTTTCATTTTTAATTGTAAGGACAAAATTTAGGCAACTAAAGAGTAAGCAGAATGTGCTGGAAGCTAAAATGAAGAAAAGGCCTTGTATTCTGAAGTTTTATTGTTGGATTTTGTTTTTTTAACTACTTTACTAAATTTTTGTAAGCTGGCTTGCAAGTACACACAGATTTTCAAACTGGACCAGCTCGACTGAATTCTGGTGCTCGACGTTCCTTCTTCTGTCGGATAAAATGTAGTAGGACCACAGTCAAAGAAGAAAAGGAGTGCTTGCCCAACCCAAAGAAGAAAGGTATTCAAACAGTGTAGTTGAAGTGGGGGCTTTCTGTCTTGAAACTTGGTATATTTAAGTTCTGAGTCGGTAGTGTGACCCTTGTAGTTACCGCTGACTTCACAAAGTAGCTGTAGAGAAGTGTAAATATGTACTGGAGACACGTTTTGAAAAACAGTCTAATTGTACTCTTTCTCCTCCCTATTCACTCCTGGAAAAGAGGGAGGGAGGAACCTGAGTTACAGTGACTGTTTAGGAGCACATGGTCTCTTGTAGTCAAATTTTAGAAGTCTCAGGGAAATTTTTGAAAGCACGGGAGCAGATCAGAAGAATGAAACTAAATAACATATGTCTTGAAGAGAACTGTGAATAAGGCCTGCAAAATCTACTGTTTTGAAGGAAAAAAAGCAAGTAAAACAACTTTTTTTCTGATTTACTTTTTGTGTTGTGTGTACTTAAAAAGTATGAATTTTCCTTTTTTTTTTTGCTTTTAATAGTAAAGTTAATTTATCAGTGTAATTGCATTCATTTTTCCAATAATTTTAATTTAGTTCATATTTTGGTACGCCTGTACAGCAGTATGATCTTGTCAAGTTTTCAGTGAATGGATCTTTTTTAAATGTAATTTCTAGCTGTTATTTAATACTTCAGTATTGATTTTTGCAAAGGTGTGTTGAAATTGTTTGACCCTGAAAAAATCCTCCTACTTTTGTTTTTCAATGTAACCTGTTGAGATACACCATACAATAGTAAATTTTAAAATAGGTCTGTCATTGTAAGTAAATAGAATTCAGTTTCCCTTTGATATGCCAACTAACATGGTGAGATAAGAATTTAACTTGTATAAATGTTTCTCAGGAAAGCAGTATTGAGGGAAGGCATCTTGACAATCTGAGAAATTTTGACAAAGTCAAGTAGGATAACTCAGTTTTTCGTTTTACAGAGTTGTTATATGTTTTCCGTAGTTCATAGGGTTAATGCAGTCAAATCGATGTAAAGCATAATTTGTTCAGAATATAGATATCAAGAATACTTTGGCAATTTTTTGAAAGATAGTTATTGTAGGACACATAATGTCATCTCTATGCGTTTGAGGGTGTTTGCATGTTATATAGGCAGCAAAGAGTCTACCAGCCCTAGGAATAAATGACAGTGTATGCTGTAATTTAAGACTTTTAAAATATTTGTGTTCACAGAAAATTGAGGAATTCAGAAGCCTAAGATAAATAGAAAATAAGCTAGGTTGTTTTGGGTTGTTCTCTTGACTGATTCTTTCAGCAATTGCAGGAAGCGTATGTTAAGATCATGTTCACAACAGGTAAATTGATTTGGAAGCTACAGAGTGCCTCTCTAGTTTGTTTTAATTTACCATACATATGAAACTATATAAAGAGAAAGTGATCTGTGGGTTACCAGACTGTTGGTTTATTTTTTTTCTGCCAACACCTATAATTTACCTTCCTAAATCTTAATAGGGTTAGAAATGCTCTCTCCAGGTAAGCCAAAATGAAATAGTACAAAATTAATTTAAAAATACTCTGTAAAATTATCAATAGCCTTGTACAGTTGCTGTAGGTAAGCATAAAATATAGTAGCTGGTCTCATGGTGAACAGAATAAAAAAAAGTAATTCAGTTTACTTTTTGAACCATAACTGCTTTTTATTTCATTTCTTTTTATTAGATCACAGAAAATACTGTACCATTCACTGTACTGGGTATATGAAGAATTGGCCTCCTAATGAGGTGGGAGTAGAAGAGGAAAATGGTGTAGAAAAGGACAGTAGTAACTTTAACTGTCTTGTTGCAATTGGGAGGTTACACCCTTATATTGTTCCACAAAAGAGTGGAGAGATACAAGTCAAAGCAACAGAATTTGTTACACGATTTGCCATGGATGGAAAATTTGTTTATGTAGATCAGCGGTAAGCGTTTTGCTCTTTAATGAAGAGAAAATGAAAATGACACCACTAGTTAAATTTTCTAATACTTTCTGTCAGAACTGTAATTTCTCAAACAGAATAGAATTTCTAGGTGCTATACACAGGAAGCAGTTCATTCTGAATCTTTGAGTACTTGGGCTTTGGTTTTTTGTCAAACGTAAAATGTAATGTATAAAAGTGTATTGTTCTATAGGAAAAGATGAGCTAGCAAGATTAAAATATGTCGTAAAATGAACTGATGTACTTATTCATAAAGAAAAATCTTAAATTAGAGCTTCATAGCTATGCATATGAATTGAGTAATAAACACTTAACCAAAAATTATTACTTAAAATCTTACTATTTGGAACACATACATTATATTTAAATGAGGTACCAAATGATTTCATTAGAAGTAAAAGCTAAGTTCCTATTTTCTGAACTTTCTAACACAGACTTTTATTTGTTGTATAGACTGAGTTACCACTTTGCATTTTGAATTTCATTATTGCCACTGGAAGTTTTTTATTGCATTCAGTCGTCTTTCATCTAAAAGTGTCAGTTTAAACCTATTCCTTAAAGTGGCAGAGCAAAATTCAACTACTAAATTTTTTGTGTGACTCATTATGTGTAACCAGTACCCTGATTGGCAAATGGGGAGACCTGATGATCATAAATATTTTGTGTGTACATGTGGTTTGCATGTTTAAACGCTGTTGTTTTGTCTTTGAACTGCCATTCATTGCAAATGGATAATTTGCAGTGAGTAGTATTTCCTGTTGTTGTAGAGCTATACTAATGCTATATCTTTTTCCCAAACATGAACACAAGCATCTATTTCTTTAAATATTAATTTTCTGCTTTATCTGATACTGAAGAAAACAAGCTTTGCAATTGTTTGAATCCACTGTAGTTCATGTTTTTATCTCTAACAGTGCAACAGCAATTTTAGGGTATCTGCCACAAGAGCTTCTAGGAACTTCTTGTTACGAGTACTGCCATCAAGATGATCACAATCATCTAGCTGAAAAACATAAAGAAGGTACAAAATAATTGATCCTCCCAAACTACATATAACTACACGTAACTGCTGTGTGAGAACAGTACAAATCAAAAAATCGTAAGCTGAGAATTAATAAACTTAAACAATCTTAGCATTGTCCTTTTCTACATCTGCATTAAGACATGCCTGCATAAAGCTTGTAATAAAAATAGGGAGAAACTTCTGTTGTCTTGGATCTTGGTGCAGTGCTTTAATCCCAAGGGAATAATGTTAATGCTTCTTTCAAGCCCCTGCTTCAATTCTTTATAAGAATGAGGAGGGAGTCCTGAAGAGCAAATGTGCCTAATGATGTAATTAAAGACACTGATTATGAAAGTTCACCAAGTCAGGAGTCTCCCTACTAGTGGTTTGCAGAAACTTGGTACTTGGGCTTTGAAGTTTAATAACATTGCTGAAACTGTAGTTTGATTTTAGCAGGGGTCCTGTCCTGTCAGTTGTTCTGGCATTTAATTTGTATTTCTGGCAATCAAAAACATTTTGGTTTTATGATGCTATAAAACAGATTTTTTTTTTTTTAAAACTTTATTTTTCTAAGTATAAATATGGTGATTACAGCTTTCCTTTCTTATCTAGTGCTGCAGAATAAAGAAAAAGTATTTACAAATTCCTACAAATTTAGAGCAAAAGATGGGACTTTTGTTACTTTAAAGAGTCAGTGGTTTAGTTTCATGAATCCGTGGACCAAAGAACTGGAGTACATTGTATCAAACAACACTGTGGTATTGTAAGTAATTCATTATATGAATTCCCATGTTATTTTTTTTGTCCTAATTACCGTTAGCTTTAACAGGAAGCAACCTGTTTAAGAAGCAGAACGAGACCAGAAAATATCAACACTGCACAAAAAGTGGTTGCGTAACCTGGAAGACATTTTTTTGCATTTACCAATTATTTTTATTTCAGGCTTAAGTCATGGATTTCACTCTGAAAACTGTGCTATTTCTGGTATAAAAAATGAGGTGAAAGAGTTTCTTATTAAAGGAGGAAAGGAAGGATCTTTTAAGAAAAGCAGATATGAATAAATGGAAATTTATTCATACCTACCATATGTCAGAATGTGGAGAAGCATAATTGATAGATTGTAGAAATGCAAGGCAGGACAAAGAGATATTCTCCAAACTGATTGCAAGGGAGGAGCCCGTGAGACAGTAAACGTGTGTGTTTAATTCTTCGTTCTTTATTTTTAATTCTTCTTTTTTATTCTGTGTGCCTTGCAATCAAGATATAATTTGGATTGTTCCAATGATACTGAGGATCTTTGCCAATGACTGGGTTTTTGAGAAGCGGGACAGAGGGGATTTTATTTCCATTAAACCAAGTTGTCAAGGGCGCCCTTTACCCGTTCTGTAGCTGGTTCATGTCTTAAGTCAACATCACCCACCTATTTTGCCCATGTCCTTTTTCCTCAAGAAGACAGAAGAGCAGTTAAGACAGTGTATGCTGTCCAGCAGCCAAAGGCTACTTTTGCCTCCCCTGGACATCTGGGTGTCTGCAGCTGTCTAGAGGAGGGAAGGTAGGCAGCAGCTGCTGGCAGAAGGTAGCCACTGACCTGTCCTTGTAGCAGTCATTTGTGGTTAACTGGTTTCCCTCCTAGGAGTAAAAATGGTAGCCTTGTTCTCCTGTCATGGAACACAGACAACTATATTGGCCTTTCTTCTTTATTTGGAGAATAAGTAGAAATTAATATTTCACCCAGTGCTTCAGAAACAACAGTACAAAGGATTGAACATTGAAACGTGAGGAATATCTCTTTTTTTTTACTGGTTTGAGGATGTTTGTTTTTCTCTGTGTAAAGTATTGAAATCAAACATAAATATGCCACACTTTGCCTTTGAAAAACTTGCTGATTGCTTTGTTTGGTTTTTTTTATTCATTTAAATCTCAGAGGTCATAACGAGTCAGCTGAAGAACAGGTCCCCCACGGTTCCCAGCCTGCAGAAGGCAAGTGTTGCTTCTTACAGTTATCATAGGTGCATCTCCTGATCAATCCATTACAATTTTAGATTTATTCAATCCAGGAATTTTTTTATTCTAGGTTGTTGTACAAGGAAGGATTAATTTTTAAAAATTAATTAAATTAATTCTGGTGACAATTTCGAGTTACTCACAGCGTCCTAATTCGTATCATTCACATAACTGTGATCAGAAGGGCTTATAGCATATCTTTTCCATCTAGCAGCTTCTACTAGGATTTTGGTTGACAGGATATTATGCTTCTGTCACAGACCCTTTACATATTATGCCTGGTTTTCTGAAGAAATGCAATTGTACTATCTGAGTTTACCTGTAGGATATAGGGTGATACTGATATTGATATATATTTGTTAATATTTTTCTGCTATGCATAGATTCCAATTTCTACATGCTGTTTTGTCATCTTGCTATAAGGTTTTTTATTTTTGCTTTTGAAATTGTTCTTTTTAATAACTGATTTCCATTTGTGAAAAATCCAGGGGTTTTTTTCTCATGTGTTTTGCGTCTCTCTCTGAGAGAGACGAGGTGTTGATGATTAAAGCTGATTTCATTACTGGAGATCAGCAATTTTCACAAATATATTATTCACTTATCTTTATATTTCAAATATAGACTTACAAGACCCTCCCCCATGAGTTAGTGTTTTAAGGAATTTAATTTCTGAAAATAAGAGATATAGAACAAAAACCACTTTAAAATGAATCCTTGAGGTGATTGTTCCTTGCTGCGTAATGAAACTGCTACAAATTTAAGGTTTTATTTTGGTTTTTTTTAACTGTAGATGCTGTAAAACAGTCTTTAGTAGGTGTACCTGGAATGTCCTCTGGAACAGTTCTTGGTGCTGGAAGTATAGGAACCGAAATTGCAAATGAAATATTAGAATTGCAAAGGTAATAGATGCTTAACATCATACATTAGGCTTTTAAGTAAAGATAGAGAAGAGTTATACGTGATTATGTGGGGGTTGTTCAAGTTTCATTTTTATTGTGTTATATGTATAAAATGTTTTAGTTTGAGCAGTGACATTATGGGATACCAATTATAATCTAATGTTAGTCTCATGCATGGCAGAACACATCACTGGTGTTGATAAACAGTTTTGTTCTGGGCATGCAATTTCCTTTGTTAATGAAAGTATTGTTTAATTATGACTTCAAAAGTGTTACTGTGATGCAGCTTCTTCACATGATGTTGAAATGGGTAGATAAACCATTTGGGAATGGAAAATCAGTTGTCTGTGAGTAGCGTTTATATTTTTCTGATAGCATCACTCTGCTAGCAGAACTTTCTTTGAAACAGTCCCCAGTGGAGCACTTTAGTAGCCTGTCTTGTCCCTGTCCTGATTATCCTGAACATAGACTAAAGTGATAGCATAATTCCTTCCCAGTACCCAGCCATAGATTAAAAAAAAAACCTCACTGTGTCATTCCGAATGGGAATGCATACAAGATTAAAATTGTTAATTAAAGATTGACCGTTTTAAAACTAACTAGTTTTAGCAGGTACACAGCATAGCGAAGGAATTTGAAAGGAAGAAACATCATTTTAATGTGAAGATACCCGTATGTATTTTTTGTCTCATGCACCCACAGTGGTGCCTGACCTGCTTATAGAGGGGGAGGTTATTACTCTATGTCCGTTTGCACTGTATCAGTGCTTGTTGTCTAAGAACATTTTTTAAGAAATCTCTGAGCCAGCTAATTCCAGGACTTTGGGATGCACATGCACAGAAAAAGTCTGTTTTCATCACAACTCTTTCAGGGATTAAGGCTTCATCAGAAGGTCCAACCACTTTTGTTAAGGTCAAATTTAGGATAATTTAGGTACTATTATCTCATCAGCACAGGACAAGTTATTTAAGTGTTAGCTTTGGATAATGAAGCAGTTCCTCAGACTTTAGATCTTATACTTCCAGTTCCAGGTAAAGGAATGCCAAGAATTTTTTTGTGTCTGCAGAGCAGTGTGTTCCAAGGTTCCATATAGTTCTTTCCACTGGCACTTTTGCAACTGGACCTGAAAGAGTAGTAATATTAAATCTTCCAAGAAAAAGTATGCCAGTTTTGGCAACAATGGTAGAGGTATAAGGAATAGTTTCATATCGTAGAATATCCTAAGTTGGAAGAGACCCATGAAGATCATCAAGTCCAACTCCTGACTCTACATGGGGCAACCTGAAAGTTAAACCATATATCTAAGAGTGTTGTGTAAACATTTCTTGGACACTGACAGACTTGGGATCATGACCACTTCCCTGGGGAGCTTGTTCCAGTGCTTGACCATCCTCTCAGTGAAAATCTTTTTCCTAATATCTTCCCCGATACAGCTTTAAGCCGTTCCCCATGTCGTATCACTAGACACCAAAGAGAAGACATCAGCACCTCCTTCTCTGCTCTCCTTCATAAGGAAGTTGTAGACAGCAATGAGGTCACCTCTCATTCTCCTCTTCTCTAAGCTGAACAAATCCTCAGCTGTTCCTCATAAGTCATGCCCTATAGTCCTTTCACCATCTTTCTTGCCCTCCTTTGGACACATTTTATATTTTTATACCTTTCTTATATTGTGGAGCCCAAAACTGCACACAGTACTCGAGGTGAGACCACACTAATGCTGAGTCTAGTGGGACAATTGCTTCTTTCGACCAGTTAGCTATACTGTGCTTAATGCACCCTAGGATACTATTGTCCCTCTTGGCCACCAGGGCACATTGTTGACTCACATTGAGCTTACCATCAACCAAACCCCCCAGATCTCTTTCTGCAGGGTTGCGCTCCAGCCTCTTGTCCTCCAATCTACACATACATTGATATGCCATAGCATAGTCAGCTTCTGCTGTTTCAGTAGTAGTCTGACTCATCAGCTTGTCTGTGAGGATGTTATGGGAAACAGTGTGAAAAGCTTTACTAAAGTCGCAGTAAATAACACCCAATGCTATCTCCTCGTCCACTGAACTAGTCACCTCCTTGTAGAAGGCTGTCAGGTTGGTTAGGTGTGATTTCCTCTTCATAAATCCATGCTGAAGTCCAGGGTTACATATTATCTTTCACAATGTGGTTGTCTTCTCAGCTGTCTCTTCATCAGAAGATAGTATTTAATTGTCTGAAACAGTAAAAACTATGGTCAGAGCGTAAGAGTGTGATGAGTGACAGTGGTAGATGTTTCTTACTGTTTCCAGTATTTTGGAATCACCTTCCAAAGATGAAGTCACATCCCTTTACTAGAATAGTCAAATTGCACAGGGAATCATTCCTTTTCAGTGAAAGGAAGAAAAGAATAAACACTTCAATTGTGATGGGATGAAAAGATTGCTACTTCAAAAAAAAAAAAAAAAAATCCATCCCACAGCACGTTGGCAGGTTACTGGGATTATCCAGCAACGAGGAGGAAAAGCACTGGCAACAAAAAAAGGATTGATATCCTCAACAGCAAAGATGGGATGTTACATTTTGGTAATACCATTGTTAATATCCTCTCATCAGTACCACCTACAGAGAGAAGGAGAGTCACTTTTTATTATATCTTTCTGAAGACTGAAGTAAGTTGGCGAAAGTTCTCATCTCTGATGGTTAATATCCAGGCATGACCCAAGAGCTTAATTTGACTCTTGTTCTAGACACTTCAGTCAGCTCAATGTGATGTTCTTGTTTGAGATCACCTGACCTTTGCTGAAAATGCTCATCCATGTGAGCATACATGTTACCAGTTTAAGGAAACCAGTTTATTAAGTAGATGAATAATGAATTTGCTGGATGATGAAAGAATGAATGCATTCCTGGGAAAGTTTTCTTCAAACCTATCCCTTGAAAGTTCTGGTATTTGTGTTTTTAAGAACCACAAGCAATGCTCTCTCTTCATATTGTTACAGAAGCAATAGTTTCAGGAGCAGTATCTTCCTAAGAAACAGAGGGAAATTTTGTGAGCTTTGTATGAAGATCAAACCAAACCATTACTCCTCTTCTGTGACAGTTCAGCAGAGCAAAGTCTATCTGTTTTAATCTTGGGAAACAGAAGAATCCATTACAGCAGACAGAATTGTGGAATTTGGAGAAGAGATTATGGTACTGAATTAATCTCCCCAATTGGGGAATTTTTTTTGTAAGAGGTGGGTTTTTTTTAAGTCTGTTTAAAGGGAATTCGGCTGTACAGTTGAGGCAGGTATGACTGAGGCCTCTTTAGGGATATTTCAGAGGAATATTTATTATTTCATATCCTTCCTGATCCCAAAAGAAGAATGGATTTTTCTAGTCCACTACAGACCTTACAGAAATTGAGCTTATTTATCAAAAAGTTCAGCTTCCATAATATTAACACTGCCATAATTTTCTTTCTGTCTGTCTGCCTGTCATAAGCTTGAAGCTCATGATGCATACCTCTCTATCTGTCAGAGATTAATTTTGTGGATGTCTTGATTTTATCATACAAGTAAAGCATGACTTTACTTATTTATGGAGCAGCAGTTTAAGGCAGCAGGATGTTTACCCCAGTTTGTTTGATTTACCAAAACATCTTTTCAGGAAGATCACAGATAGTTCAGACATGCTTGTAATTTAAAAAGCGAGCCTGCTAGGAGAAATAAAAAACTGCAAGTTCTGGATTCAAAGAACTACTTTCCAGGACAAATATTTGTGAAAGTGCTGGCAGTGATGAGCACACACCTCAAGAAGCTGCATCAGGTAGTCTTATTCTTCAAGTCATTGATTGAACTTAGTGTTTTTCCCGGTTATGTTCACGTCTTGAACGCTGGTTAGTAAATGAAACAATGTTATGTTGCTTTCTTTGGGAACAGTCATCTTATTTCTCAACTAATAGACTGAATGTCACAAGATTTTGAAAGGAAAAATGTTTTGCTTGCCAGCTTCATCAGCCACAGTGATCTGAGCCATTTTAGTTTTGTGCCGGTGTGTTTGTTTCAGTCATCTTAGTTGTCCATGGACACTGGAAATGGAGAAATATACTTGTGCTGAAACTCATAGCCCAAGAAGTTACTATGCAGGTGAAAGAAAAGATTAAGAGCAAAGTCACGCAGAATAAGGTAAACTCTGTGTCCAAAGGAAGGGCAGTTCTGAAAAGAAGCCAGCTATGGAAGGGAGCAGTTGCACTGTGTAACTGGGATCTCTGGAATCATATTCATCCTACAGTCCTGTGTCTTGGGGGAAAATAAACTAGGTTTTATCTCTATAAGAGGAAGAGGCGTTCACAAATACAATTGGCCATTGAAGGCCTTATCAGTAACAACTGACTGTTTCTGGAGATGTCTGGATGTGGTTGCTTGCACCCAGATGTAGTTCACATTTCCAGAATCGTTGCTGAGAACAATGCTGTATTTCTTTCCAGCCAAAGAGTAGAACTTCATGCTATTTCTTCATTTTTCTTTTGTATGAAATCAAGTTACTATCTTGCACACACTGAGGCAATCAAAATTACACAAAAGTGTGATCAACAGAGGCTAACACCAGCTGTTTTTCATCAAATACCTTTGTGACTACAAACATAATCCAAAAGGATGAGTGCATTTACTACCTGAATCTGCTCTCTGCATTTTTTTAATATCAGTAAGACACAGATGGTTTTCAAGCTGTGCATCAGGCATCACCAAGTATTTTTAAAAATTTCAGGACTATGCCTACAGCTCTATTTACAAGCATATCTGAATTGAATTAGCATCTGATGAATGATCATTTCAGTTACGGCAATGCTGTAAATCTATTCAGTCTGGAGTTTCTGTCCCAGCTTTCAGAAATGGCAGTACTGCTTATCAAGTGGCGCATTGGATATTGGAATGTAGGGAACTAACAAGTATTCCACACAAATAACTCGACTTATTTAAGACAGGCTGTTTATTCACCCATTTTCTCTCTTTCCTCCAATCCCTTATCACATTTTGGATCTGTGAAAGTGATGGAACAGAAGCATCCAGAGTGCCCCAATTCTTCTATAGCCTTGTGCTTTGAGAGTCAGGAAGAGCAGGGGGAGATGGGAGCAAGCTGTCCAAAGGGCCCTGGTATGACATTTTCACTGTTAGTTTCATAACTAGCATGTTTGGTGAGGGAGGATGAGCAGTACCTCAAAGAATGCTAGTAACAAACAAGTGGTCTTTACTTTTAGTTGGAATTTTAGGAAAATATGGAAAGACAGGTATAATAAAATAATAGTACAGGGAGCATTAGAAGGATGTGTTGTTTTGCCTCCACTGTTTAGCAGAACTTCCTTATGTTGTCTGTATTCTGTATGTATTTGAAATGTACCTATTTGTCCTCGTGTGCATAATCCTGAAACCTGTTACTCTTTGGTCTGTCAGTGCTGGTGATTCAACAGAAAAATAAAAGTGTGATCAAGTAATTATGACCCATGGCCTTTATTGATCTCTTCTGTTTTTTGTGTTATCAAAACTTGGAGCAGGAGAATTTAGAATCTTCAGGAGAATTTAAGACAACATTGTCTCAGATTAGCTGGCTCGTGCTTCATCACTGGGGAGGTCTGGTGGGTTCTGCAACACAGGCTATTTTTCAGTTTATGATCAATGTGACTTGGTAAATCAACTAAATATATACAATTTTAGGTTGCATTCTTCACCATCTGGGGAGTTAAGTCCATCACATCTCTTGAGAAAGTCACCTTCTCCAGCTTTAACTGTAAACTGCAGTAATGTGAGTATGTCACTGCCTGTAAAAATCTAAAAGTAAAAGGTTAATGTCAGATAGCTCAAAGCCTATGTTTGAACCAAATTACCCTGACTTGTGTGTTTGTGAGAGAATGTGTAAGGTATTGCCAACTACCTGGCAGCTGTGAAAGTCATTTGAGAGATGTGACAGCAGCAGAAGTCCCAGCCTCATTTACAGGGGCATCAGTTCAAGCCTTAAGGGGCTGTTGAAGCTCTACAAATATGCTAAATATGAGTGTGATTCGTGTGATGAGGACTCTTCTGGATTTGGAATTGCATTAAAACTCTTGCTAAATAACCGTCAGAGAGTAAAAGTATTTCCACCTGTTCAGTTTGACAACCTAAATAGAATACCAGTTCTTGTTTTCTCTCACTTGTACTTTTAATCTTAATGTTCTTGAAGACCCTTTTAAAAATCTAAAATTTTTACTTTGAAGGTATTTCAGTAGTCTTCTAAAAATCAATAGAATGTGCTGTTTTGCTAATCTAGTAGTGCTGGTAACACCACAAACTATAACTATCATAGTTATTGACCATAGCTATGGAATAACTAACATATTTTTTTACCTAAGTATATCGTATGTTGTATATTGTGCACCGTATGAACAAACATTTACTTCTCCATCAGCACTTCTTTGAATGTAAATTTCTTTCCATTTAAAGACAGTTTATCTTCCCATTGCAATTTTCATTTCCTAACAATACTATTCTGGACTAGGGATTGTTTCGGCTTCCTGCCTTTTTTATGATCAGTTCTCCCCTGCCTTACTGCAGGTCTTTCTTCCTAAGAGTTGGTTGACTTACATATACTGAACTCTCTAATTCATGCAGCATCTCATCGTAAGGATAACTTCATTGTATTCATTGAAGGTTTTTCTTTATTCTGTGCTTTGGTATCCCATTTGTTCCTAAAATGCTTTTGTAAAGCATTTCAACTTTATTAATTTTGTAACAGAATATACACAAGTCAGGCAACCCAAGAAATCTATCCTGCTAAATTGCATGTATGTGTTACATGAAACAAATGAAAAAAAAACAAACAGATTTTTTTTCTGATATGTTTGGGTTAGGATGATTTCCATCTCTATTGTTGGTAGTCTCATTTTTCTGAAGTGCAAAAAGTAATTTAAAACTATGTAGATTTTTATCATGATGGTAACAAGATGCAAAATAATAGAAAAGGTACAAGTTTATAATTCATATGGTTTAATGCATATAGAACATGGGAGGTATGAGGGTCTTTTTTTTATCTTTTAGCTAGAATGTGTCGACATTGACAAACATGATGTCACTGGGAATTTGTAGTTTATGGTACTAGACATGGAAAGTATATACCAGTGCAGTTTGTTGTGCAGGATTTATTTGCTGAATATTGAATTAGACCCTCAATAAAGCAGATGCCATCACTGTGAAGTACCTTTGAAAGATGTGTAAGTAACACTTTTTATTTAAGCCAAGTCCAGTGCTATGTGAACTTCTAAAAAAAAATTATTTTAAAACGCAGTAGATCTGCCTGTTGATGCATATTTTTCATTTACTCTGTTTAGTTCTTAATTCGTTGACAGCGATTTATAATGTTTCTGTAATGTGATAAATGTGATTTAATTTGGGATTTAATTCTGTCTCTTTTACTATTTCTGTTCTTTCAGGTGCCAAATAAAGAGATGATTCAGTTATGTCCTTCAGAAACAGAAGTTCTAGAGACTTCAGAACAAAACCAGCGTGCTATTCCATTTCCCAATAATGAACCTCTCCTCAGTAAGATTTCTCTTGCGGATATTTTGGGCGTTTCAGGGAAAGACATTTCTGATAAATGGTGTAATTTTTGAGTGCACCACTTTACAACCATGTATAAATTGTAAAGAGATTTGACTCTCTTGAGATGAGAGGACTCTTAAAACAGATGTGTTATCACTGGAAGGCAAATAGCAAAATTTGATCAGTGATTGACTGTCATGACAAAAATAACATCCTGTAACAGAAGTTTACCATTGCATTCTTCATACCACAGTTTTAATTAGGTACTTACTAGTTCTCTCTCCAGGAAAGAGAGATGGGTAAGGAAAAGTATTTCAGTGCAATGTAAGGGAACTGGTTGTAATTTGTGAACTATAGTTCTTTTAGCACTTTCTCTCTGACTTAACTGCAAGCTATGAATAGTCAATACAAAGGGCTAGTCAAAATGTTTCAGAAGGAAATTTTTCTTTTTTCTTTCCCCTCCTTCAAGCATGCACTAAGGCAGCAGTTTGTCTGGATATAGGATTCCCTGACCCTGTAAGAGAAGAATGTCGTTGTATTATTTTTAACGTAAAAGGCAAAGTGCTATAAAAGCAATGTTTATGCTCATCCTGTGTTTCAGCTCTTAGAAACTTCTCAGTCTCCCTCTTTTATTTCAGTTTCTAGAGCTTTATTTATTTATTTATTTATTTATTTATAACCTACGGCTCTCTTCCAGTTTAGGTATGAGACCTTTATATAAAAAGAAAAAACCCTAAAGGGCAAAAAAAGCTGATCCTCAAATAAGGGTTTGGAAGAAAATAAATAAAAAAATAAATAAAAAACCCAGCAACATTTATCAAAGCTAGGCAAGGAAGTGTTTTTCACTGGTACTTGAGCTAAAGCATTTCACCTTACTGTTGTTAAAGGCAAGGGTATAGTGTTGATTTCTAGAGCTAACATGTAGTAACTTGTTTCAGGAGTTCATCCGGCATAGTACATCAGATGAGAATTCAGGTACATGATTGTGTTTCCCACTAAGGTGACATAAAGTAGAAAGCAGTTTTGTACTTCAGTGACATGAACTTCACTGCATGGATACAAGTTTTATTAGCTAGCAGTTGGAGGTAGTCCAATGTATGACAAGACATAAGTCTTCTTAAATCAAGTTATATATGCCCTTATAACAGTCTACGGACAGCCATTATTTCTATTACTTGATTTTATTTTTTTTTTAACGTTTACATGTAAATGTTTGCCTTGACTTCAAAGGAAGGTGCTTTTTAAAAACAAGTATGTGTTGAAAGTTCATGCTTTGTAGTGCATACATTAATGTTTTAATAATTTTATAGGTGGTAATTCTCAGCTGGACTTTGATGCAATATGTGAAAATGATGACACTGCTATGACGGCTCTTATGAATTACTTGGAGGCTGATGGAGGACTTGGGGATCCAGCTGAACTCAGTGATATACAATGGGCTCTCTAGTTTTGCTTTTTCAAAATAAGAAGGAATGTAAAATCTGTAATGCACAACAACCGTACATCCTCAGTACTGTATTATAATTTTTTAATATTTCATTTGAATTCATACTTACTGTCTATATATTTTTAAAGACTGAAGCCGTGTTCAGAGAGAGACAGTTTCTGCTGCACCTACGGAAAAATGCAATATTTTTTTCATGATGGGGAAACCTTGAAATTTTAATATTGAACCATCTGTAACTGGAATGCTTAAAACACATTACTATATTTTTGCTAAGAAGCTTTAACCAAAAGGTACTGTACAATGTGCAGGAATATTTTTTTCTTAGTTTTAATACTTAAACTTGTATTTATTGTTTTTGTTTCAAATGGTAGAATATTGATTATCCATGTTACTTTCTGTAGAACCTACTGTACTTACACACTTTAAGAATATTTGTAGCTATTAAATTTCATTGAAATTATGTTTTGCACACACTACAGTTGTACAATAAGGTATTGTAATTCTCAAATGATGCAGTTTGTGATTCCTTGCGCTTTTCAGAAGTGCAGTTTTTGTAGTCAAAAGTGAAAATAAAGCATATAGTTCTGGGAGCAAGGATTTGAATTAGATCACCATAACAATCAGAGGAGAATGTTTTGAGAAAAATAGTCACTTCCCCAGTACACAAACATGATAAGGGTATAAGAAAAGAGCAACAAAATCTTAATTACTATTTTGTATTATTTGTAATATATTATTAGAGGGGCAGTGCATAGAACCTAAGAAAAGTAATGCTATAACTGTAATAAAGCACTTCAGTCTCATCACTAGAGAAGTTTGGAGAGATTGCCTTGGTTCCAGAGTGAGGCTAGCACTGTCTATTAGTGGAAAAAATCTTAAAATTCTACAGTATCTTTTATAGTCTCTATGGTTTTGGAGAGATTAGGGTGATTTTTCTATTGCTTGAGTCTGTGACTTTTTAAAATATTTGTGTAAATATAGTGCTGTCTGTAAGTAAATGCTATATAGGATGATATTCTTTTGGGGGACAGCTTTTGCAAAAATTGTATCGCAGTTACAGCAAATTACTCAAGAACATGGCACTTAATAGGTTGTATTAGAACAATATAGCATTAATATATAAAGTGGATCTTTTTATCTCTAGTATTAAAGGTTTAGACAAATTTTTGCATCGATTATATATCATAAAAGCATAATTTTTCTGTTTGTTTTTTTTAATTCGGGTAACAAAAGGAAAGCATTTGAAGATATTTGATATTTTTGATACAGACATTTAAACACAGGCACCACCATAAGCACTACTGCATTTGTTTTAACACTAAAGGTGAGTGATAGGCGGCCTGTTTCAGATCTTTTTACAAAGGCTGAAGTGTGTGAACAGCTAGGGGTAGTAGCCGCTAGATGTCACAGTTCTGCTGTTGGATAAATACCCTTTCCTGAATGGATACATAATTTTGTCATGCACTGACTTCCTATGCTTTGACAGAGCAGCTTTATATCTTATAGGTATGAATCGTTTTGCAAATGATTAATTTTTTGTTGCCATCTTGTCCAGGTTTTCTAGAACGGCTTGTTGGATTGATTTTTTTTTTTAAGTCTGTAGATTTTTTGCATTTAACTTGCATGCAATTTCCTGCATTCCTTTTTTTTTACAGATATGGGGCCAAAATTATCTGTTCTCTAGCTTTATTAGAATAATTTTTTCTGTTTCTTCACAGAAAATGAATTTTGGGCTATATCATGGAGCAAAGTGAAAAAAATAAACAGGTACTTTCTAAAAATTGGTAGAATTCTATTTGTATAAATGAAATTTGAGAATTTCAATTTTTGCCATTGTAAAATGTATTTTCTTTTTCTATTTTATTCTAGAAATAAATTCTAAATAAACCAAGAAATACTGTAGCCAACACAGATAAATGAGTAAATAAATAACTTATAATTATACAGACTTTCCTCAACATACTTTCTTTTTTAACTGGATTAGTTTGAAAATGGTGCAGATGTTGAAGGAGCATTATTTATTCTTTCACAAGATGTATATAACCATCTAGAGTCAAACCACTATTTTTGGATTCTTCTTGGATTTCCCTAAAAAATAAAAACAAAAATGTAACTTTGCGTCTTTTGCAGTCATTGATCAATATTGTAGCTCTCAATTAATTTATTAGATTCTCCCTTTACTATTTGTGAATTTTTCTGGTTTAAAACACTCTTACAAGAAAAAGTGTCACTTGTAAATATTTATGATTAAATTAATACATACTTTTTAATACGGTTGAGATAGTATGTACTGATTTCTCTTCGTATAACAATACAATTCTAGTAAGATATGGACAGGTTTTTTTCTTGGCATGGTGCAGGTTATCAGAGGATGTGGTTAAATCAGGTCAATAAAATGTTATTTTGATGCACTACTGTTAGTCTGCTGACAATTCTACCTAATACTGAATTTAAATATGAAGTACTCATGCTTTCAGATCCCAGGCCCGTTCCCTAAAAATATAAATGGGGAGGTTGAACTAATGTGGATTTTGGTAGCTCAAGATGATATTCCTAGCCAGGGTAACTTTGTAATCCAAACTAACATGCCTGTTCTAGGTACTAAAAACCCCTGATGTTGCAGCTTAATTGGGCTGTCTCTGGAAAGGAGAGTGCCTGTAGGCTGTACCTGAAAGAGCCTGTTGGATCAGAAGCAAACAGAGTACATGGATACGATTCTTACAGAGTCTTGCCACGGGTAGGTATGGTGAGTGATAAAGCAGGTGTCAACAGGCTCTTAAAAGCCGTATTAGTTATCAAGGTTGTACTTGGAGATGGGTCAACTAATTTGTTACTGCAGGCACATACGGAGTTAAAGATAAGAAAATCTTGATGAGAGAGGAGTTCTGATATAAGCAGCAGCTTATTTGGGAAACCAGTTCCTGTGTTGACAGGAAAACACGAGAGAATTCTTTTCAGAATTAGGAGAAGAGAATAAGGATGTGGTAGAGACAAATACCATCTGGGTATTGTTGGAGTGAGAAAGTGATCTGGCTGGGTGGAGGGTAATGGTTAGCTATCACCAGCCTGAGTTAGATCAGAGGTAGACTGCAGGAAGGCCTGGACTGCCATGTGGCACACAAGATTAAAACAGTGCTTCAGAATACCATCATGTCTTACAATGGTGAATCGTGAAGATGTCAATATGTTAAACCTTAACTTTTGCATTTCCTGTAACAATACTTGACAGTTGTTGCGGGTGCAGGGGGGATCCTTTCTGTGCTCTTTCGGGTGTAATTGCTTCTTGGGATTCTCTTGGAGTGTTTAGTCAAGTACAGTGCTATTGCATGGGTCTAAAACAGCGCTTCAGTCCATGATACTTTCCTGTGGTGCATTGTAGTTCTGGACTTTTCTGTGGATCTTATGCTTTTTTTAGAATATTGGAAAATTTGGCTTACTCACAAGCACAAAAAGCTAAAATTAGTCATTTCAGTGGTTGCTGACAGTAGTGCGTTCCTCTTCATGATCCAAACTGAAATGAAGAATTTATTCTTGCATAAGTGGTGCTGCTTCTCCCTAAGCCCTGACTTCTGGCCTTTTTCACTTAGTGTTTTGCTTCCTTTTGTAGGCTAATATACCTCATGTAAATTCATAAAATGTCCTGGAATTCCAGGAAGTAATAATCAGCTGGAAAGCTGTGTGCCATTTAGGACTTCTCTGAAGATGATAATTTTATTCCCCAACCTTGATGAGAATTATTTTGTTCTATACAAATATGGAGGTGACGAGGATACTTGGGGTTATAGGTTCTTGCAGGTTAAAAGATGTAAAACCATGTTTCAGAGCAGCAGAATTAGAGGATCCACGAAAAAAGCAAGTGGAGTGGTGAATGAGCTGCTGAAATACAGCTTCTGCTGCTGTGGCACATTCTGTGTGTATCTCGTTTCTAGAAGGTTCATCTAGATCCCCTTTACCATGACACTTGGCTGTCATGACTAAATTTTCTGGGTTGTTCCTGCCTTCATTGCTTTGAGAAACTTCATATCTTCTTGGTGAGGAAAAGACAGAATTCCTGAGACATGACAAAAATTCTCATGTCCCTTGGAAGTAACAGTTTTACTGGTGCAGATCCTGTCTCTATAGCTCTTCTTATTCAAGATCCTGTGGAACAGCTGCCAAGCTATAGCAGCCTACTACATTTAAAAACAAAAACAAACAAACAAACAAAATTAAGGGCCCTGAGGGCTGTGTATATTATGTGGTGGCTTCTGTGAAGTGCTTTTGTTAAATGGGAGAGAAAAGGGAATAAAGTACCTCAGCATGCCTGATTTATTAAAGGATAAGTTCACATATATGGGCAGTTACTACACATAACTTTTTATCCTTTAGTTGTTTTCATGTCAAAACTTCTAGAGATAACCAGACAATCTTTGGAAGTCATAAAAAGTTTTGTGGGAAAGATCTTCCTTGTTTGTCGCTCTCACAATGCTGGCCCTGTGGTAAAAGTTTTCTTCCCCCGCATTTGCAGATCCCAAGTGTACATGTCCTGACATCAGTAATCTGTCCTACGAAACTTGGGGAACTTTGGCACAACTGAGAGAAAATGACATAATTAATAGGCTCTTTTGTAACAATGAAGTATATCAGTGTGTTTCTAGAAGGGACTGTAAAGTGAGCAGCAGAACTTTGAACAATACAATATCTCAGGTAATATGCAATGCTTTTAAACAACAAATCTGACTTCGAAGATTGGTTCTTTCTTACAGATAGGGCTATATCATAGAGAAGACAATACTGCTGGGGCTTTAGTGTTTAGACAAAATAATTTCAGATGAGTTCATAAAAATTCTTTGACAGGAGTGGTTCCATCCTTAGACTTCATCTTGTCAAAATAGGATGATAAGCAAATTGGTTTCTTAACCCCTCGTACTTTATATACATTTGATTTGCCAGGTCTTTAAGAATACTCTCTTTTTTTTCTGGACAGATACAGTTGCAGTATCAGATGACGGTTTTGTTATCGTTAAGGAGATAGTAAATCTCTTAAAGAAACCCAAACAAAACCCCAAACAAAACCACCAAAACAAAACACCAACACAAAACAAAGCAGAAAAACAGGCAGGTGAACGTAGTGTTGTTTCAGCAAGATACAGTCAGCTGCTACACACTTGTTCTGAAGAGCTCCAGCCTATTTGCACTTCATTCTGTGTGGAACATAAGAGCAGCTATGGTGTTTAAGACTGCCCGTTCTGCTGCGGGCAGCAATGGACAATAGTACAAGCACAGTAGGTGCTTCAACCGCTTTCAGCTCAGGGGATTTGGTTTGTCCGTTAGGTAAACCCTGAAGGATGTCTATTCCAAGTGTGTCTATTTGACCACCCCTCCATTGAGGCCATGGAAACGACTTGTATCCGCAGACTCCTTTAACAGGGAGTGCCACGGGCCTCCTCCCTATTGCAGGAAGAGCCATTTTCTCTGTTCTGGCTCTTGCTAGCTTCATCTGCAGATTACTACGACATTTCTGGATCGCT